ATAATTTTGACATGTGAAAAAAATGTACATAAAATAATCTGAACTGAAAAATGGGTGAATTAAAAATGCCATGATATGTCTATTGAAAGTGGGTCTGCCTTCGGCTCAGGTCATGATCCCAGGGTCCTAGGATCGAGCCCCGCGTCGGCCTCCCTGCTCAGCAGAGAGCCTGCTTCTCCCTCTGCCCCTCACCCCGCTCATGCTCTCTCTCCCGCTCTCAAATAAATAAATAAAATTTAAAGAAAAAAGGAAACCAATTTTTTGAGGGATGATGACAATGTGTTTGCTTAGCTCTTTGGCCCCTGAGGGGAGAGGCGAAGGGAAGCATTCACGTTTGCTGAGCACCCAGTTCACATCAAGCAACTGGCTCGATGTCCTTGCGCTGGTGTCTCATTTACCCCTCACACGGCCTGTGAGGGACACTGTATTTTCTGCATGGCATACATGAGGACACTGCGGCTCAGTTACTGAGGTGTAAGCAACTTGGCTGGAGACCTCACATGTCTTAAATGGTGGGGCTGAGACTCGGCCACAGGTCTCCTCTGGCTCCAGAGCCTGGGTTCCTGATACCGGACGAAACTCATTCAGTTATCAATAACAAACAAACACACCTCTGAAATTAGATGATAAGCAAATGGAAAAACTGGGTTCAGTTTTTAAATGTTTGCCTGCCAACCACACTTGAGAGAACGTAATTGTGCATAAAATAAGATAGATACACACCTCTCTCTTTTTTAAGCCTGAGATATTTAGATTTGGACGACAGGACAATTCTGTACTTCATGTAGGACAAATTCTATCAGAAGGCTGCCTCTTCCTAAGGCATTAAAGCATCCACTTACTTCTCCTTTTTGGTGTCCGTGTGGTCCAACATAGGGAATTCTGCTTCAATCATTTCTGGAGTCAGTATAACTTCTATATTCTGTTCGCAGAGCTCACTGAAAAGGAAGAAGAGGCTTAGCTGGAATGGGTTTTCCTTCCCAAAATAAAATGAGAACTATTGTGATCGTTTAAGAATTATGCAATTCTTGCGGCTTTCAATGTTAGTTCTGCCCATTTTGTTGAGCCTATGCTAAGAGAAGCATAAGGCTGATAAACTGCTTTCCACAAACAGTGGCAGGAATCACAATAACCAGAGAGTAAAAAGCAATTTTTAAAGTGGGGTTATAGAATTTATATTCTTTTCAAGTGCACATCGTGTATTTACCAATGCTGACCGTATCTTGGACTGTAAAGAAAGCCTTACCCTTGGGAGCCGCAAAAGCTGTTCCAGTCCCCAGCGATTGAAAACTAATGATTGTTAAGCAGCCGCATGCATGCTGGTGCTTTGCAAGCATCAATTTCCCGCAAGTAGTTTCCTGTCTCTAAGGTGCGGATAAGAGCAAGACCTCATCACGGGGGGGTAAATGAGACTGCATGCAAAGCCCTGTGCCCGACACGCAAGTAGTGCCTTGGTAAATGTTTGTTACAATTACCACCCTCGTCATCAGCATCAGCATTATCTCCTGTAACTGACAGCTCGCAGGAAATAGGTTCTATTATTCTCATTTCGAAGATGGGGAAACTGGGTCACGATGGTCCCCACATCAGTGCTGAGTGGGGGAGGGGTCAGCTAGGCCTTGGGCTGCTGGGCATCTCCGCATGGCCCCGCCAGACAGGACCTGTTCCTCCGAACCTCACGCAGCCGGGTACCATTCCTCCCTGCCTCCAGCATCCTCACTGGTGTCCTCAGGCAGTGGTTTCAATAGAAGGCGCTCCAACCTTCCTGGGAGAGGGGGGTGGTTCGGAGCTTCAAATGCTCAGGTATTGCCAAGTGTTACTGCGTGTGGGCAAGTCTTAGAACTGGATAGACAGCTCAGATATTTAGGATTTCACTAATTGATTATTTATATGGAAAAATGTTGAAATGTGCACAGTGACAGGAGACTCAAGGCTGTTGGATGCTCACCAGTAAAATGAAACGTAAGCACCTTGGTTTGGGGCCTAGAGTTTTTATGCCTCTCCAAATCCCACCCTCTTTCAAGTACTAACCCAAGCCCCCTGAGCACCACCTCTGCTCTCCCCTCCCTCGAGCTCCCCGAGCACCTACCCATCAGCGAATGCGAGGCCACAGAGACCATCTACTCCCCACCACGAATTTGGCCTGCTATCCCCTAGTTAGGGCTCTGGGAGGGTGTTAGCCTTAACTCATTTGGTTTACAGACCCGGGCACCGTGTGCTCTTCTGAAATCTCTCGCAGCGCCTAGGGCATTTTTGTAGAACAGACCGCATTAGAAACCAAAGGTGAAAAAGTACCGTTCAGCTGTTTCCAATCTGTCTTCTTCTGGCAGGGCGTCGAGAAGGGCAGGGACATTTTTAGGAAGCATGACTAAGTTGAAGGAATCACAGCTGTGGAAGAATCACACAGGCAGCCGAGGATAAAGGTTCACATTCGCAGTCTTGGGATCTTTACCCAATTTGCTAAAGCCCTCATACTTCCCCACTGGGGAGGCCGTTACTCTTCTGTCCCTCACTCCTGAAAACCCACTCCTGTTTCCCTACGGACAAAGGCAGGCGTTGTGACAGGTACCAGTCAAATCCTAGAGGATGTGGCCAAATAAGCCATTTTCAGAACTTTCAAGCTGGTAGTGTCTGATGTTATTTCTTGGGGGGCACAAGGCAGTATTTGGATAGTTCACTTTTCTTAGTATTTCCCCCTCATCTTTACAGTCTTTCTTAGTTGTTCTATTCAAATTCAAACCTTCCTCCCCACCCCCTGATATATTATTTGGTATTATATATTTAGAGCTTTATATAAAAATTCCTGGGAATCGAGCACATTAAAAGAATTAAAATAGGGAGAAAAAATATTATTAGTTTAGAAATTGGCAGCAGACTTCTGTTTCAAGATGGTAGAACAAAGACGAACCATGAGAGACTATGGACTCTGAGAAACAAACTGAGGGTTCTAGAGGGGAGGGGGGGATGGGTTAGCCTGGTGATGGGTGTTAAAGAGGGCATGTTCTGCATGGAACACTGGGTGTTATACGCAAACAATGAATCATGGAACACTGTATCAAAAACTAATGATGTAATATATGGTGATTAACATAACATAATAAAATAAAATTTAAAAAAAAGATGGTAGAACAAGCATTTGCTTTTTTTTGTCTCAACTACTTAAAAACTTTTATTTTTTTTAAATTTTTATTTATTTATTTTTAATTTTTTAGAGAGAGGGAGAGCATGAGCCGGGAGGGGCAGAGGGAGAGCAAGAGAGAGAATCTTAAGCAAGCTCCATGCTCAGAGCAGAGCTCCATCTCATGACCCTGAGATCATGACTTGAGTCAAAATCAAGAGTCAGACACTAAACCAACTGAGCCACCCAGGCGCCCCTACTTATAAACCTTTTAAAGGAATAAAAATTGAACACACAACAAGGAAGAAGAGGAGAAAAAACAGACATGGATAAAAGTTTTCAACAGTTTTCTGGAATAAATTTTGGAAGCTGGGAAGAGTGTTGTCTCATGAAAAAGAGTACACAGTGACAGAGTGTAGATCACACAGGAAGGAAACCGACCTCCCCCCAGATCCTAGAAAGATTGTGAGCTGAGGGTAAGGCAGGAGGCAGATGTGGAAAAATAGGGGGGTTAATTGAAGCCTCCTTGGCAATGTGCACATATGTCTTTGATGGGGCGCCTGGGTGGCTGAGTTGGTTAAGCACCGGCCTTCGGCTCAGGTCATGATCCCAGGGTCCTGGGATCGAGTCCCACGTCTGGCTCGCTGCTCAGTGGTGAGTCTGCTTGTCCCTTTTCCCTCTGCCCCTCCCCCCAGCTTGGGATCTCTCTCGCTTGCTCTCTCTCAAAAAAATAAATAAATTCTTGAAAAAAAGAAAGCATGTTATTGTTCTACCTATTCAAAAAAAAAAAAAGATTAAATCAATAACAGAGGAGAGGTAAAAACCCCAAATTGAAAGCAAATTGAAGCAAATAATATTTCACATGGATTCCATAATCATAGAAGGAAAAAGAAAGAAGGAAAGGAAGGGAGAGAGGAAGGAAAGAAAGAAAAAGGAAAAGAAAGCACTAATCCAAGAAACTTACAAATACAGTATTTGACTATCTAGTCATAGTTTGGGTGGGATGTGGGTACGGGGGGCATTGTAAATGAGCCTGAACTCTATTTATCATGCTTGTTTATTAACACGGTTATAGGTAAAGCAATTGTGAAACTACTTTGGATATTCTGTGAAACTGAGTAATGAGTAAATGTGTTAGGAGCCAGGGAACTCACAGTGGCAGAAGGAACATACAAATACGGAATGGGGTCAAGTAGGCAATAGCTTTATGGATGTGGGCCGGAATTATAAGCATTGGTGTGAATTCATCATTTCTGAAATGTGTGTGTGTGTGTGTGAGTCTGGCTTGTCTGCTGAGGAGGCCAAGAAATAATCCACCCAGTAGCAATGTGTCCTCCTAGCACCCAGGTTTTGGTTTTAATACCATTCCTCACTAAAGGGGACCTGGGTGCCACCACTCTGGGACTAGTCCTATTTATTGACTTCCTGACAAAGCACGCAGGTCCTACCTGACAAGCCCACTGTCACTTTAGAGCGCGGTGGTCAGGGGGGGATTCCTGCCAAGCAGGGGTACTGAGAGGTGGAGAGCCCGGACCACTCCCCAGAGAGCAGGCTGGTCTGGGAAGACAGCCAGGCAGCAACCAAGCATTCTTCACGAGACCAAACTTATCCAAGTTTTAAATTCTGAGACCATGTTCCTCTTACTTTTGCGTGTGTGTGTTAATTTGTTCTTCTGAAATTGAAATGATGGAGACGGTAGATGGTTATTGGGCACTTTGTTTTGCTTTCCTTTGTTTTAATGCTTTTCTTGGCAAAGCAAAACCCTGAAGGTCCTAAAACGGTTCCCAAAATTCTTCTGGATAACACTATATGTTAATTAACTGAATTTACATAAAATAAAATAAATTCTTCTGGACATTTTGCCCGTCTATAAAATCTGAAAGTCGGGGTGCTACTGGATTAGATAATTTCTTCTTCTGTCGCTGCTGATTTGCAAGATTTTTATGGAAGTCCTAGAGAGACTCAAGTTCTCATTGAATTTATTAAAGAGTAAAGAAGCCAAGTGAGCTGTTTCGATTATTAGGAATACAAAAATGACTTGGAATAAATAAATAGTAAATAGCTATATCGCATGGTTTGACAACAAACACATAATTCTCAGGGGCAAAGGAAACATCTCATAAGTAATAGGTAATTTATTCAAACAAAATGACTGCAAAGAGGAAGTATCCATCATTAATGGATTTGTAGGAACTTAAGAAAAATTACCATTATTATTTTGTAACTGCTTTTAAAAATAAAAACAGGGTCTAGAATCTTACATCCTGGAAGTCCATGATATGGAAATGTAGAATCCTCTCTTGATTTTATCATCTGTTATGCAATTACGGTTTATTTTGAAACGAATTGGCCCAACAGAGCACTCAGGCACAGAAGTGGAAAGTAACAACTCACAGCTGGAGAGTTTTCTTTAATTCATGTAGAATTCATGTTTAATTCATGGTTAATTCAAGCCGAAGGTAACTGCATGCTGCCAGCTTTTTGAAAGAACAGCCTCAGGAGATTTTTCCAAGGACATTGCTTTGGAAAAAAAAAAATAGGATTTGTCCCCCCTTAATTCTTGAGACCTGTGCATGTTACATGCTGACAGCTGGTGGCCACTTTTCGCCATTTATCCTTTTGTCATTTTGTTTATTCAGTCTCCGGACTGTACCCCACAGCCAGCTACGCCTGGTTTACCAAGTACGGGGGTGGGGGGGATGGGTTGGGGGGGGTGAAGCATCCTCACCCCCACAGCGAAGGCAGGCGGGTGGCAGACTATCGCCATCTGGTGGCAGCAGAATCACCCCAAGGTTTAGTGGCTGGGGGTTGGGGGGTAGAAGGGCAGGTAGTTATTAAGGATGGTGCAAGACGCCTCACATCATCATGTCCCTCTGATCCTCACAACAGCCCGGTGGGGACGCCATCACTGTCCCTGCTTTGCAGACCAGAAAGGTATTGTTCAACAGGCTTCAGTAATAAGTAACTCGCCCAAGGACACGGAGCCGGTGACTCAGCTCATGAGGAACAGGGGCGGTCTCCAAGGCCCCCCAAGATGTTCATTCTCTCTACAGTTCCACTGTCTCCCCTGATTCTGGAGCTTTCAGATTTTAGAAATACACTCAAGTGAAGAGCAAAGAGGCTGAGCTTCTTCTAGATGGCTCCAGGAGGGATGAAGCATGGATGAACCCACAGAAAAGGAACTCGTATTTTTTTGGAGCTCCTACCAGGTCCCAAGCCCCAGGTTGGGGTGCTTTTTGCTTGTCTCCTGTTAAATGTCCAGGCAGAGGACAGCAGCTGGGAGGGCTAAGGAAATAGCCCGAAAGGGAGGGCCTGTGGCAACGCCTAGGGAAGGGAGGCTGAATGTTGCTTAATTCAGGAGGAGCTTTTCCTCTGGCAACGAAGGAAGAAGTACAACTCAGTGTTCTAAAGTCACAAACTGGCTTTCAGCGATCCCCTCAAATGTCTGGGGAGGGTGGGTAGATAGTGTATACAGGGTCACGGCACATCCAGTGAGCTTTCTTACTCCTACTAAAATGAAAATGTCCATACCTTTGTTTTAATGGACAAGAGGACTGGGAGAAGAGGCGGAGGAGTGTGGCTGATGTCACACAGCTCCCGCAGGCCAGGGGGGCACTCTGGGGAGGGAAGGGCTTGAGTTCCTGCCTCAGAGGACCCAGGAGAAGCGGGGGGATGGTATAGAGCTCACCTACTGATCCCATATAGTGGCAGAGCTCAGGTTTCCTTGGGGGTGGGCCTCATTTTGGATCAAAGGACTTGAAGGAAAGGTGACTGCTGACGGCCATCGTTTTGGAAATGAGTCACATCCACTCGCCAATAACCTATTTAACGATGTTTGTAAGGACAACCGACTAAAGAAGCAAATTCTGAGGCTTAGGAGTGGATTTCTGACCAGCCAGAGTCCTAAAGAAAAGGCATCAGACTCCTTGTTTGAGATCTTAGGGCTTTGAAGAGGTGCTAAATGAGCAAACTAGCAAAAATGTGTTTACTCTAGATTTCTTCTTTCTTTGGTCCAACAATATGCTCATCTGCCTGTTCTGTTTCTGCAGCTGAGCTCCGTCTGTGTAGGATGGTAGCCGTGGGGCCTTGCAGACAACGCTAGGCTGCCGCACAGAGAGAAGTAGCTCCACTGGAGTTGTATATGAAGGGCGCAGAAGGCTAATTTTGGCAATTCAAGAATGTTAAAAATTGACCATGAATATTTCAGCTGAATTATATGGATTGGTTGTCCACGTTATTGAAATATGGACAATCAGCCACTTGTGATACTAATTTTTTTAAGAAGTATATCTCAAGATAATTCAAAATATGGGGCACCTGGGTGGCTCCGTTGGTTAAGCATCTGCCTTCGGCTCAGGTCATGATCCCAGGGTCCTGGGATCGAGCCCCACATCAGGCTCCCTGCTCAGCGGGGAGTCTGCTTCTCCCTCTCCTGCTACCCCTCCCCCCCACTCATGTGCTCTCTCGCACATGTGCTCTCTCTCTCTCTCAAATAAATAAAAATTTAAAAAAAGGACAATTCAAAATATGTGAATCAGTGATACATCATCATACTTCTCTACCTAGCAAACTTCCCTAAAATCCTAAAAGTAGGATTTGACACAATATTGGCGGTCACCTTTGAGGGTCACAGCCTCTGTAATCTGTGGGGCAAACATACCTCTGGGAGACGAATAGATGAGCTATGGCATACCTCTGTGTTGTCTCTGTCTTCGAGGTTTCGGGCAGGGATGAGAGAGTCAGGGGCTGGAACTTCTTCCAGTGCATTATCCCAGGAATAATGTCCTGCAGTGAAAGCCAGGTACGGGGTCCCACATGTAAGGGAACTGTTTGGCGAGGTCAAGTCTAGGAAGGACTTCCATTTCATTCAACTGGCTTTTTGGCAATCTTCAAAGTTTAGCTCCAAAGTGTATAATTCCATTAAGTTCGACTGAATTTTTCTGAGGCTAAAAGACAACTTCTCTAGCAGAAGACATCAAACAATTCCATAGGGAACTAAAGTAGGGACGAAGGAGAGATTTTCTTCCCCCTGATTCATCAGGCACACAAGAGACTGGGCCTGGTGATGGAGGACAGATCGGGCCTTACAATCTGTTTTGTGAATGTGACGCTAAAGCGACATTCAAAGCGGCGTTCGCACATCAGATGGCATTCCTGGCAGAGCCAAGTGCCTGCAAATGCACAGACATGCGAGGGAGGGCGCTGTCAGGGGACACCACCTGGGCTGAGTGCGGGGCCAGACAGGGACTGGTGGGAAGTGAGTCTGGACAGGCAGGCGGGGCACAAAGGTCCTGTGGGCCAAGCTGATGAGCTTGGAGCCTCTCCCTTGAGCCGCGGGAACCACTGAGGGTTTTTAAATTGGAAAACAATGAGACCTGATTTGTGCCGAGGGAAGGCTTTCAGGGAGGGCCCACCGCACAGTGGTGGCCCATGGGGTGAAGTCGAGATTCGCCTGCTGTGTGGGGCAGACTGGGGGATCCGGTGATGGGTAGAAATGGGGAAAGAAGGAGAGGGAGGGATCCCAGGGACATGGGTCCCTGCACAAGAACATGTAGATCACAAAGGCAAGTGGGTAGCCCAGGAAGAGGAGGTGGTGTGAGGCGTGGTCGGCAGAAGCAGGGCAGAGATAATGATCCGTTAGGGACTTAGTGAGTTTTCAGGGCCTGAGGGCCACCTCCAAGAAATGACTCTGGCCATTCAGGTCAGGTCGGTTATCTCAGGGGAGAAGGAATTCTCTGGAACCTCTCCCGTACTGTGCACCTCGTCCATTCTGATATTACACTTGTTGGAGTCGAACAAAGAGGAGGTGAGATCATGGGGTTTCGCCTGGCATGTGATCATTTTTGTCCATGGTGGAAATGGGACTAAAAGGAGTATTAGGCACAGCTTTCGAGTGCAAAAGAGAGTAAGAAGGTTGAAAGAAGGGCCACATGCAGCCTGCGTGGTGGGGTACGGACAAGACAAGGGCAGAGCCGAGGCCGGCGGTATGAGAAGGTACGATTCCCTCAACCCCAGCTGTGCCCCTCCATCCTTGTCCCCCTGCCCTTCCCCACAGCCCCAGTGCCAGCTCCGCCGGCGAACCTGCCGCTGCCATTACCGTGTGATGGAGAAATTGCTTTTGGGTGAGAGGAATGCTGGACCCCCTGTGGGACTCCCTGATGAACTTGTACTTGGGGTGAGGGCACAGATGGTAATCTATCAGGGTTTCTGCGTAGGTCAGAGGGTGCTTCACAGCAAATAGTCCTGGGTTGGGATTCTGCAGAAGAGAGAGAGAGAAGGAAAAAAAAATCCTCTTTTGTTTACTGGTTTGTAAGCCAGGCCAGGAGGGCGAAAGTCAATGTCACCCATGGCTCCCGCTAGCACTAACACTCTGGGTCTCCGTCAGCTCCTCTGGGAAAGAGAAGCCGCTGAAGAGAGTGTTCTTCAAACTGGCAGTCACAGTCATTCATAAAAGTCACTCTTCTGGGGGCGCCTGGGTGGCTCAGTCGTTAAGCGTCTGCCTTCGGCTCAGGTCGTGATCCTGGGGTCCTGGGATCGGGCCCCACATTGGGCTCCCTTCTCCGCGGGAAGCCTGCTTCTCCCTCTCCCGCTCCCCCCGCTTGTGTTCCCTCTCTCGCTGTGTCTCTCTCTGTCAAATAAATAAATAAAACTTAAAAAAAAAATTATACAGCTGTCGAGGGAGAACATATGATTCTTTGCATCCATGAAAACAGAATTTCCCAAAGACCAAATAGATAGTCTTCGTGGGAAATGAAACACCACTGATGTGTTCTTTCTGTTCTGTCCAAGTTCTGTGTGTGTATGTGTGTGACAGTGAGGATGCTGGTAGCTCCTGGCTGAGGCTGAAGGAGGTGAGAAAGGGACCGAGCAGGGACGGAGAAGACAAAACTGAGCATCGGATGATGCTTGATACGAGCTGAAGAGAATTTCGGAACCAATGAACTTTCCAAAACCATCTAGGGGATATCAACCTGTTGGAATACTCCCCAGCCAAGAAAATGATAATTATGTTGATAATTTTGACATGTGAAAAAAATGTACATAAAATAATCTGAACTGAAAAATGGGTGAATTAAAAATGCCATGATATGTCTATTGAAAGTGGGTCAAATGTATATGTATTTTGAAAAAATTAGAAGTGAATTTTTTTTTAAAGATTTTATTTATTTGACAGAGAGAGAGATAGCGAGAGCAGGAACACAAGCAGGGGGAGTGGGAGTGGGAGAAGCAGGCTTCCCTCTGAGCAAGGAGCCGGATATGGGGCTCGATCCCAGGACCCTGGGATCATGACCTGAGCTGAAGGCAGCCGCTTAAGGACTGAGCCACCCAGGCGCCCTGGAAGTGAATTTGATGTGCAGGAAATGCTTAGAGTTCACTGTTAGCTTATCTTCTAACTTCTCTTTCATTTAATAATAATTTGATAATCAAGTGGCATTCACTTGATATTTCTCCGTTCATGTGGTAAGCCACTGTTTCTCCAGGGGTAAGTTTTGAAATAGAAAAAAAGGTTTTTATTTAAAAGTCTCAGTGTATTGTTTGAAAACTGAAACAAGATGCAATGCAAAGTGCATCTATTTGTTAAGGTATATGAGAGTTTATGTGTTATGGAGTATAACATATTTTATTGGTAATTACCTGAGCAAAACAGAGGCTCACTGAAATTCTATTTAACATTTTTATTTCCTAAATTTTCTTTTCCTAGAAACTGCTGATCAGTTTTCTGAGAAGTATTGGTTGCTGTAGGCTTCTGAAACCATCACAAACAAGCCAAAGGAACCCCACACTACTTTAAGACATGTGGGGGGGAATTCATTTCAGAAAAGGAAGGAGCTCCCAAAACCACTCCAGACAAAGTGACGAGACAAACTGAGATATTTATAACATATCTAAGAAAGGGTAATTAGGGGCGCCTGGGTGGCTCAGTTGGTTAAGCGACTGCCTTCGGCTCAGGTCATGATCCTGGAGTCCCGGGATCGAGTCCCGCATAGGGCTCCCTG